GAAACAGCAGCATGTCTAAGTATGAAGAAAAGAAATTTTTAAAAAGTTTGGGGAATTCTAAGGAAGCAGGGCTTTGTTTTGTATTGGACACTGTTAGGATATAGGATGATTCTATGTTTAAGTGTCTTAATAAATTTTATTAAAAGAGGTTGGGCTGGAGTAAATATGAGTAATATGAGTGACTGGTAAAGAAACAGCAGTCACTCATATTAGCCAGGAGAGGGGGGTGTTTGGCATTTTGTAGGGTGCAGGGTGACCTTATTTTTTTTGTCCGGGCTTAGACAAAGTTTAGAAGTGTTTTGTCTCAATTTACCTTTGTATCTGAGTGAACTTGTCTGATAGTGATGTTTTGTCACATTGTTCATGTCCAATAGGAGAGTAATACGGCCTCCCATGCCAGCTTTGAATAATACTAAGGCCTACAGCTGGATGTCTGAGCAGTTTCCAGATGTCAGGGACTGCTTTTTTGCCTTCTCAGACTCATTAAGAATCACTTGAAATCTGTTTATACCTATAGTACTTTCAGTAATTTATATAGTTTCATTAAATAGTATATAGAACACTGGAATTATTATAAAAAGAAAAGAATTATCTACAAAAACCAGGTTGAATGTTTTAGAAAGATTTAGTAAGGCAAAATGCTAAAAGTGTGGGGCTGGGGTTTTGGCTCAGTGTTAGGGTGTTTGCCCAGCATGTGTGAAGCACTAGGTTCGATTTTCAGCACTACATATAAATAAATGAATAAAATAAAGCCTACCAACAGCTAGAAATACATGTTAAAAAATGCTAAAAGTGTTTTTTTAAATGGCTGTTGAATTAGGGATGGGCAGGCAAAATGGCCTTTCAGAATTTGTTGTTAACCAGACGGATCCTACATGTCGATTACTTTACATACTATCTTCTTTTTTTTTTTTTTAAGAGAGAGAGAGAATTTTTTAAATATTTATTGTTTAGTTTTCGGGGGACACAACATCTTTGTTGGTATGTGGTGCTGAGGATCGAACCCGGGCCCACGCATGCCAGGCGAGCGCGCTACCGCTTGAGCCACATCCCCAGCCCCAGACATACTATCTTCTGAGTCTTGCTTCACCTTAGAGAAACTCGCATTGTAACAAGTGAAATTTATTCACTTCCCAAGTTTTAATTCAATCCAAAATACAGTACAAAAAGAAAGGCATCTGAGACCAATCAAAACAAAATCTTTATTCTCCTTAGATTATTTTTTTTCTTCTTCAGGATAAAAAGCAGGTAAATAATTGGGATATTAAAGAAACTTAAATTTTAAATTGCAAGTGATATATTATAAGTGTGATTTATATAGTAAAGATGATATGGGGGCTGGGGTTCTGGCTCAGTGGTAGAGGACTTACCTTGCACATGTGAGACACTGGGTTCAATCCTCAACACCACATAAAAATAAATAAAAAGATATTGTGTCCCTCTATAATTAAAAAAAGAAAAGTTAAAAAAAAAAAAAAGATGATATGGAACTCTTGTTCTTAAAGAGCCTTAAAGACATCCTTGGCCTTTAACATACACATGAATTGATCCACTTTATATGTTTTAAATTTTAAAAGTTTGTATGGTTCCTTGCTTAAAGCAATATTTTAAATTAACCTACAACCATTCCTGATTGTGTCAAGTCAGAGGCTTTTACTATACAAAGAAATTTATGTAGCAATTTAGGTGCAAAATTTTCATTGGAATTTGATAATTGTTAAAGATAAAGACAATATGGTATTTTCAAAAGATAGAATAGTATATAGTTATTAAGTCGTGTTTTTAGATATTTATTATAAGAAAAATGCTCATATAATCTGAAATATGAAGAGTGGGCTATAAAACCATGTAAAATTATGACTGCAGCTTTAAGAATGGGCATCTAAATATTTAATATGCAAAGTATACATATATAATTAAAAGGAAATGAATCCAGGAATTGATAGAAGTTTCCCCAGATGCTAGAATTTCAGAGGGTTTTTAATTGTATCTTCTGTGCTTTCCTGATAGTCTGTAAGTATGTATTATTTTTCAAAAACCAGGGGGAAATGTTCTTTAAGAGCCCCAATGTTTGTGGGTTTTTTTTATTTATTTTTTTTAGTTTTTTTTTTAATATTTATTTATTTATTTAGTTCTCTGCGGACACAACATCTTTGTTGGTATGTGGTGCTGAGGATCGAACCCGGGCCGCACGCATGCCAGGCGAGCGCGCTACCGCTTGAGCCACATCCCCAGCCCCTGTTTGTGGGTTTTAGAAATGTACTTGTGTTACTATGAGTCTGACTCTTTGCTCAGTGTGTTTCGTCCATTTCTGAAGCTTTGTGTAAAAGAACTATTAAGGTTGCCAGTGTTCTTTAATGTTCCAAAGAAGAAGAGCAAAAAGTACTGGCATGATTTCTTTAGTGTGGGGCTCCTTTGGGTTTAATTGACAGGCTGGTGTTTCAAACTTCTAAGGTCTAATATGGATAAGGCCTTTTTTGCCTGCCCTCACCTGACCAGGCAGAATTAATCACCCCTTCTCTGTGCCTGTGTTAATACTCTTATTTTAGTGCTTTCCATGTTTTGTTAAAAAACAAAAACCAAAAAAACAATGCACATATGTATCTTCCCCCCACCCCAGCCATACTACATTGCATGTTCCCTGAAAGGAAGAAGGGAATGACCTATCTTTGTATTCTTAGTACAAAACACAGACCTTTGCTTCTCAGTAATTGGCCAAGTGTCTTGAGCAAATACACAATAGTACCTCCTCCAATGTGCAAATTTCCCGAAGGAGCATATAAGGAATTTGTCTTAACATATCAGTTATAATTTAGAAGAGCAGAGGTTTTCAGTGCTAAACCACAGCACAGTGAAGAGTATCAGTGAAAGGAAAGCAGCCTATCAACAGCAGACTTTGAGTTTCTTCTGAGGATTGTGGATTGTTTTCACAACAGAACTACATGTGGTGAGCATATAAATTGATGTGGCTATTTTGGAAAGGCACTTGAGCAATATCTGTCAAATATAAAATGCATGTCACCTTTGCATTTGTAGGAATTTAGCCTCTAAATACACTTTTCATAAATAGTCATGGGCAATACTCATTAGAGGCTATTGTTTGTAATATGTTTCTGAGTAGGAGATTGTAATGTTACACAGAATATTAGCAAATGAGATTATATCTGTGATGGGGGTGAAAACGATGAYGACCCTGGCTTTTCTTTATTAAAATACATATTATAGCCAGTTGTGGTGGTGTGCACCTATAGTCCCAGCTACGAGAGGCTGAGGCAGGAGGATCACTTGAGCCCGAGTTCAAAACTAGCCTTGACAACATAGCAAGATTCTATCTCTAACAAGAACAGAAATAAAAATAAGCATCATATGCCAGGCTGTGTGCCATTCATTTGACATGTTTTATCTAGTAATTCTTATTACAACCATATGGAAGAAACGGTCACCTGTTTTGCAAATGAGGAAACTGACCCCACAGAGATTAAATAACTTGCACAACAGCTAGTAAAGGGCAGACCTGATATTCAGTCTAGCACTTTTAATCGCTAAAATGCATGTTGTCCACTCTACTGATGGAGAAGAATATATTAAGTGAAAAGCAGTTTAGGATGGGGAGGGAGAAAAGCAGTTCAGTATTGAATGTATAGTATACTATCATATGTTTTTAATTTTTAAAAAAGTGATAGCACACACTGGAAGTAAACACAACAGAAGCTTTTTACAAGAAGAGATAAATGACCTTTTACCAATATATGTATTTTTTTCTTTTGTGTTTTGATAGCAGATATGTATTACTTATGTAAAATTTTAACTAAAGTAAGTGGAGGTAACATTTCAAAAAATTCTAGTATTTAATGAAGACTAAGCTGAAATCAACCAATAAGTGCTTTGTTCATTCCTACTTACATWACTTTATGTTGGGTTCTCCTTATTCTAATGACCTACCTTCAGCTCTCAATCCAAGATAACAGTTAACTTCCAAATTCACTTCTGCAGTTCATAGCTTATCTTATCCTACTTTGAGTGTTTGATTCACATAGCACAAGTATAAATTTTTATTCTTTTAAATTACTTTCATTTTCCCCAAAGAGTTTGAGACTGCTTACAGTAAGATATAGTTATAAATATACATTATAAAACTGTAAATATTGAGATTACAATTATGTAGTCTTAGCAGAGTTCTACATTTAACTTTTAAGTTTCCTGAAATTGCAAAAAAGTAAAGGATTTTGATTTTTGTGTGTGTGTTTGTATGCATGTATACTACTAGGGATTGAGGCCCAGGGGCATTTAACCACTGAGCCATATCCTCAGCCCTTTTTTATATTTTATTTAGAGACAGGGTCTTGCTTAGTTGTTTAGGGCCTTGCTAAGTTTGCTGAGACTAGCTTTGAACTTGTGATCTTCCTGCTTCAGCCTCCCACACTGCTGGGATTACAGGCGTTTGCCAGCATACCCAGCAGKATTATGAATTATTATTATTTGATAAGAGGACACACACTTTTTTGTCTGAAGAAACAGTTTTTTCTGATTCTAAATTTTTAGAAAAATTTGTTTCTTGGACCCTTTTATACAATTTATACTTTTTTAGTTGTTTTGTGATTTTGTTTTTTTTCTCCCCAACTAAATTATAAGCTTCCTTAGGACAAACTCCTTTTTCCATACTATTTTTGTTCCATCTCTGCCTAGAAAACATGCACTTATTATTATGGCTGAAAGGAACAGTTGCAGCACAGCCACATTTCATGGATTATGTTACCACTACTTTTCAAAGACTTGATCTTTGATACCACTTTCATCCTCCTCAGCAGGGAATCTTCTCTGATAGTCTTCCAAAAAAATCATAATTTATTTCTTTGCATGTAGCTTTTACTTAGTTCTGTCTTACAACCCATAATTTCTAGCCAAGTACACAGTGTGAAAAATTGGAAATTTGTTTGAGCTCTTGTTTTGTGAAAGTCACATCTTTTTAAATATGACCTATACCTTTTCTTTTCTCTTAGGCCAAGTTATCAAGGCATGGGACATTGGGGTGGCTACCATGAAGAAAGGAGAGATCTGCCATTTGCTTTGCAAACCAGAATATGCGTATGGCTCAGCAGGCAGCCTCCCTAAAATTCCCTCGAATGCTACTCTTTTTTTTGAGGCAAGTATATCTCTGAGCCTTGTCAACATCTGTTCTGCTATAGGGTTGCCTTTGAAGCAGCAGTCAATGAATGGAACAAGGAGCTGAGCTTGCTATTGAGAATCAGATCCAACTTATTTATTTTGGAGCTTGGCTTCTTGAATTATTTCCCACAAACTATAGGGATGTGTGCCAGTGCTTTCTTAGAAACGTGTCTCTGGCACAGAAAGGGCATATCCAAATAAACAAAAGACACTAGACTTAAAAATAAAGGTTCTGGACAGAAGTGTAAGTCTGACATACTTAGAAGTACAAGGATGAAAGTGGTGGAGATAAATGTTGAAATATCCCTATACCCAGTTTTAAGTTATTTTCACATCATAAAGTTTTATAAATGTCATAGATCTCTCTTTATTAGAAGCAGCAGGTTGTGATATGCTGTTTTTCCTATTTTGAATTAACTATACATGTTTGTAAAAACCTAATATTAAGAACTGTCCTAACTGGGTGATATACACTTTCAGTCAGTTGTAGGCCAGATTCCTAGGATTTATTCTTATATTTTGAAAATGGAACTTCATAACTTTGGGGTAGAAAAGTGGTGGCCTCAGAGTCAGACATCAAGTTCTGTGCCAGCACCTTGTCACTCTGGCTTTTTGCCCACAAGGCAGTTTTCCTAGTATTTCCTGTCTGTCTTTGCACTGCAGCCCCACAGGATATAGTCCTAGACATTATCATTACACAAAGTTCTTTCCAAGTATTGAAAAGTACAGTGTGTTTTTTTTCCCCTATTTTTCCAATAACAAAGTTTTTTAAAAGTTTTATTTGTAAAATGAAAGAAAAATCAGTTGCCTTTACATATGTTAAATTGGCTTTGTTTGATCCTTTCTCAGCTAAATCTTTTTTCCTTTCTAGATTGAGCTCCTGGATTTCAAAGGAGAGGATTTATTTGAAGATGCAGGCATTATCAGGAGAATCAAACGGAAAGGAGAGGGATATTCAAACCCAAATGAAGGAGCAACTGTAGAAAGTAAGTATAAAACTTGGGTTCTATTTAGTGGATGAAATGGAAATTGTTTTAAAAACTCTATTTATAGAAATAAACATTTAATATACCTCAAGAATAGTTTTAGATTCAACATTTATTTAAATGACTTCATTTAGTAAGTATTAATTTAACGTGTGCATGCCAGGCACCCTGCCAGTCTCTACAAACTCCAAAATGAATAAAAGGCAATTCCATCCATCAAGGAATTCTCAGTCAGGACTCTTTGGGGGTCCCAACAACATATTAATAGTCTCACATATTTATTAATTTGTGTCTCACAATAACCTTATGAGATAAGATTTATTATCCCCAGGAGAAAAAAGTGAGTTCAGGGATGTATAAAAATTGCCCAAGCTTACAAAGTTACTAAACAGAACACTGGATTGWAATCCCTTTTAGGACTCTCAAACCCATCTCCCTATGATAACTGATTATTCTTCTTCCCTCCCAGAACACATTGTATATACCACCCTGTGTAGGACATCTTTCTATCTTTCTTTCTTTCAATATTTCAATATTTATTTTTTAGTTTTAGGTGGACACAATATCATTATTTTATTTTTATGTGGTGCTGAGGATCGAACCCAGTGCCCTGCGCATGCCAGGCAAGCGCGCTACCACTTGAGCCACATCCCCAGCCCAGGACATCACTTTATATTACAATGAGTATTTGCCTCTTTCCCCAAGTATTTAGTGAGCATTTGAAAACGAGCATCTTTCTTTATCTTTTTATTTTCAGCATTTGCTTCACATATTTGGTATTTAGTAAAACTTTCTACATGTATAAATGTTTAAAACATACCATTATTGATTTGAATCCTTCAAAAGAGAAACATAAAGAAATACTTGCATTAAAAAAAACTCAAGGCTGGGGTTGTGGGTCAGTGGTAGTGCTCTTGCCTAGCATCTGTGAGGCACTGGGTTCGATTCTCAGCACCACATACAAATAAATAAAATAAAGGTCCACCAACAACTAAGAATAAATAAATAAATAAATATTTAAAAAGAAAGAAAAAGGAAAATTCAAAAGCCTAAAGGTCCACCAACAACTAAAAATAAATAAATATTTAAAAAAGAAAGAAAAAGAAAATTTCAAAAGCCAGGTGCAGTGGTATGCACCTGTAGTCCTGACTACTTGGCAATCTGAGACAGGAGAATTTCTGGAGTCTGACAGTTCAAGACCAACCTGAGCAACATAGCTCATTGTGCTCTATATGTGTACTTTGAATTGAAATGCGTTCTGTCGTGTATAACAAATTAGAATAAATAAATAACATTTTAAAAAATGAAAAAGAAAAAACCCAAATCACTAAATAACATGAACTATTAGTATAAAAGGTTTATTTAAAATAAAGAGTTACCAAATGTATTGGCAATCTCAACAACTTGGAAGGCTGAGGCAAGAGGATCATAAATTCAAGGCACTGAAGTCTGGATAACTTAGCTAGACCCTGTCTCAAAAATTTTTTTAAAAGGCAGGAGCTGGGCACAGTCACACACGCTGGGATTACAGCCTGTAATCCCAATGATTTGGGAGGCAGAGGCTAGCTTTGAATTTGCAATCCACCTGCTCTAAGCAATATAGCGAGACCCTGTCTCTAAATACATTTTAAAAAAAGAGCTGGGGATGTGGCTCAGTGGTTGAGTGCCCTGGGTTCAATCCCTATTATTTAAAACAGTTAACCAAAATAGTTGATGTTCTTGTTTTTTTTTTAAACATTTTTAGTTGTTATGGACCTTTATTTTATTCATTTGTATGTGGTGCTGAGAATTGAACCCAGTGCGTCACACATGCTAGGCAAGTGCCCTACCACTGAGCCACAACTCCAGCCCCGATGTTCTTATTTTTAATAGTGTAGATACTACTTTGGAACTGTATTTCATTTCCGAAGTCTATGTTACATCAAATTTAGTTGTCTTTTTATTGAAAGGAGTTGTAAATATTCAAYGAAATATTGTAGTTGAAGTGTTTAGAACATTGTCATTTGTGGTAAGTTTTACACTAAATGAAGAGGTCATCAGATGTATGTCAGAGAAAGAACCCAGGCCAGAAATCAGGAGGTAGGGTTCCAGGTGTAGCTAGACCTCACTTCTGGTCTTTTGACTCCTTTTTAGACATTGAAGTAGGGGTTGGACCTCTGGTTTCTAAGGTTCTACCAGTCCTAAAAATCTGTGATAGAATTCTAAAGGTTTATGAAAGCTATGGGAATGATCAAAAATTGTCTTCACTATTTTAATAGACACTTAAATTTATTTATATCATTTGTTTAATTTTTTATTATAAAAAGTTTCAAATGCATATACAACAGCTTTTTTCCTATGATACAGAAACTCCTCAGATTAAAAACACATTATGAGTTGTTGAACTCATAATGTGTTTTTAAACTGTAGATTTTTGTCAGACAATTATAGACAAGATCACAAAACTGCCACTATAGAGATGACTTTGGAATAGTCGAAATTAGATCTTATTTTTGGTAATACTTTCAATGGGAGTCATATTTAACTGTTTTGAAATAATTTTAGACTTACAGAAAAGTTGCAAAACTCTTACAAAAAGTTCCCTTATGTGCTTCACCCAGCTTCCCCTAATGTTAAGATCTTACCTAACCACAGGACATTTATCAAAATCAGGAAATTAACGTTGATAACAATACTGTTAACTGTCTACAGATCTTACTTTAATCTAACCAATTACCACAATAATGTCCCTTTCTGATCTAGGATCAAATTCAGGATCTAGTAGTATATTTAGTTGTCATGTCCCTATAATTCCCCTCCAGTGTGATAGGTCTTCAGGCTTTGTTTTTCATGACTCTGGCACTTTTGAAGATGACTGGCCTTTGTGTAGAATATCTTTCAGTTTAGTTTCCTCTGATGTTGAGGTTATGCATTTTTGAAAAATATCATAAGAGTGATGTTGTGGGCTGGGGATGTGGATCAAGCGGTAGCGCKCTCGCCTGGCATGCGTGCGGCCCAGGTTCGATCCTCAGCACCACATACCAACAAAGATGTTGTGTCCGCCGAAAACTAAAAAATAAATATTTAAAAAAAAAAAAAAAAGAGTGATGTTGTGCCCTTGTGGGTTCATCATTATCAAGAGGTACATGGTTTTGATGTCTCATTACTGCTGATAACTTAGATCTCTTGTTTAAGGTGGAATCTGCCTTGTTTCTCTTCTATTAAAGTTACTATTTTGCACTTTGTAATTACTAAGTATTTCATTAAGAAAAATGCTGACACTGTGCAAGTTGGTTCACATCACACCTTAATATGCTTATTATCATTAATGATTAGCATTATCATATGCTCATCCATTAATGATTAATGATTTTTGGATAAAATAATGATTACTGTGGTATTTGACTAATGGCAATTTTTCTATTTCCATTGTTCTTTCCAAATTTATTAACTGAAATTCTACTGTCAGGAAAAGCAGCCTTTTCTCCCATATGTATATATTGTTTATATCATTATGTATCTGTGGGTATTTATTTTCTTCTCTTAGTCATTTTTCATTGCTATTCTYATTTTGTTGCTCAGATTATTCCAGATTTGGCCATTGAAAACTTCTTTAAGTTGGCTTTTTTATTTTTTCAACATATCCCATTGGGTTTTTTGTTTTGTTTTATTTGGGGGCATTGTTTTTGTTTTTGCACTTCCCTATTTTCTGATGCTCTAGGCTCATCTTAAAATTTCTTTGCTCCAGGCCTAGAATCAGCCTTGCCTCCAAAGACCACTTTTATTAGAGAGAGGTATTTAGAAACCAAGATCTGGGTGCTAGGTGTGCTTGCACTGTAGGACTGCTTCTAGAATGTCTTAGCAGACAGAGGCAGGAAATGTGTGTGTGTGTGTGTGTGTGTGTGTGTGTGTGTGTGTGTGTGCTCTATGTATTTCTTTTTCAATCTTCATATGTATTAAGAATCATGAGTAAACTGGGCATGGTGGCATATGCCTGTAATCACAGTAGCTTCGGAGTCTGAAGCAGGTGGATTGTGAGTTCAAAGCTAGCCTCAGCAATTTAGTAAGGTCCTAAGCAAATCAAAAAGAACCTGTCTATAAATAAAATATAAAGAGGGCTGGGAATGTGGTTCAGTGATTAAGTGCCCCTGGGTTCAATCCCTGGTACCAAAAACAATTAAAAGAACTCTGAGGGGCTGGGGATGTAGCTCAAGCGGTAACACACTTGCCTGGCATGTGCGGGGCGCTGGGTTCGATCCTCAGCACCATATAAAATAAAATAAAGATATTGTGTCCACCAAAAACTGAAAAATAAATAT